CTAACTTTTTTGGGGTTAGAAAAAGCTAGACAAACTAGAAAGACTATAAATGCCTTAAAAGATGACAAAGGAGTTGTACAGACAGAATCTTCTAAAATTTTACAAATAGAAAAAGAATTCTATCAAAATATTTATAATAGTACAAAGCCAGATGTGAAATCCATAGATAATTATATTAATGATACAAATATTGATCATAAATTAAATACACAAGAAAGTGAGATAATGGAAGGTACTTTAACCATTAAAGAATGCACGAATTCATTATTCAAGATGAAATTGAACAAATCACCAGGAATTGATGGACTAAGTGTTGAGTTCTATAGAAATTTTTGGGATGAATTAAAAGAATTTGCTGTATCTACATTTAATTATTCATATAGAAAAGGGAAGTTAACGAGTTCTCAAAAAATAGGAGTTATTTCTCTTATACATAAAAAGAATGATCCGCTTTGTTTAAATAATTATAGACCCATAACTTTATTAAATATTAATACAAAATTAATTGCATATTCATTGGCTCAGTGCATTAAAATATGCTACCAAAAATTATTCATAAAGATCAAAATGGTTATGTTAAAAATAGAAAATAGAAATATAGGTTATAATATTAGACAAATCCAGGATATAATTGATTATGCAGAAAGATTTAATATAGAGGGGGCACTACTATTTTTAGATTTCTCAAAAGCATTCGACTCTTAGAATGGGATTTTATGATTTCAGCTTTAAACAAATTTGGATTTCAAAATTCTATGCTTAAATGGATTAAGACTTTATACAAAGACATTAAAAGCGCAGTAATAGATAATGGATGGATATCTGAACCCATTAACATTCAACGTGGGATCCGACAAGGACGTCCGTGCAGTGCGAAAGTTTGTGTTATAGCAGTAGAGATATTAGCCTGTAAGATAAGGCAATACCATAATATTAAAGGCTTTGAAATTAAGATAGATGGGAAAACACATTCATTAAAAATCAGCCAACTTGCAGATGACACGACACATTTTCTAAAAACACAAAAAGACATTTCAAAAGTTTTAAATATGATTGAAATTTTTGGCACATTATCAGGGCTTAAATTAAACAGATCAAAAACAGAAGGCATTTGGTTGGGAAAACATGAACACTGTAAAGAAAAATACGAAAACATCAACTTTACAGACAAACCAGTGAAATGTTTAGGAGTTTTTTTTTTTTTTGTTGTAATAAAAATGTGTGTCAAAAACTCAATGCTGAAAAACAAGTAGAAAAATCTGAGAAGATAATTAAAAACTGGGAGAAAAGAAAGCTAACATTGTTGGGAAAAAAAACAGTTATCAAATCACTTATTCTACCCAAAATTACTTTTTTAGCATCTGTTTCACACATAGAAAAAGAATACATTGATAAATTAAAAAAAATTATTTATCAATTTTTATGGAAAAGCAAAATAGAAAAAGTTAAACGTAAAGTATTAAGCTATGAATTGCTAGATGGTGGTCTAAAAATGATTAACATAGATAAATACATAGAATCTATCAAAATTGGGTGGATTATAAGATTAATATATGGAGATTTAGCCAACTGGAAAGTTATACCGTTATTTTATTTTAATAAATTTGGCAAGAACTTCCTTATCTTTCATATGAACATTGATGGTATTAACTCAATTCCAGGTTTAAATAAGTTGCCAGAATTTTATTTGAATGTAGTAAAAGCATGGGTTAAAAATACAAAAAAAATAGAGCAGCCAAAAAACTTTAGATCCATTCGTCAACAAGTAATTTGGGGAAATCAATTCATCAAGATAAAAAAAAAAGTCTTTTATTTCAAAACTAGACAAATAGCAATATCATTTATGTAAACGACATTATAAATGAAAATGGTAACATATTGGAGAAACATATTTTACAAAAGCTCAAGATTAAATATAATTGGATGTCAGAATTTTCTCAATTGAAGAAAGCTCTTCCAAAAGAATGGCTTAATATTTTACAACAAGAAAATTCAAAGAAAACTAAAGTGAAAACAAATTATGTTTTATACATTAAGAAGAATTGTAATTATATAGAAACCTTAGAAAATTTAGACACTAAAAAAAATTATAATATATTTATTCAGAATGAGATTGAAATGCCTGTTGGTTTTAACAGATGGAAAACAGTGTTAAACATTGAGTATATTAAGAGTTCAACATGTAATATATTAAAATTTGTTCATCATTATTTGAAAGAAAATAAGTATAAAGTGTTTCGTTGGAAATTGTTACACTTTATTCTACCTTGTAAAACTTTATTAAAACAGTGGAATATCTGCAATACTTCAAATTGTCATTACTGCAATACCACTGAGGATTATGATCATATGTTTCTGAAATGTCACTTTCTTGATGACTTCTTGAGTAAAATAAAAAATCTTCTTGAAAAACTGAATATTGATAATAATATTCTAACATTGAAGAATTTAGTATTCGGTTATAAAATTAATGATGAACAATATTATGAAATCAATTATTTGATTACATTAATAATGTTTTGTATATATAAAGCTAATTACATGTCTGAACAGAAAACAGAATCTATAAATGTGTATGCTGTATTTAAAGCAGAATTTATGTATAGTTACAAACTGCAGGCAAAATGTAAGAATACAAGATATAAATGTATTCTAGATAAAACTGCCAAATTGTTAAAATAATTTCATTGTTTGAGAAGTATATGATCTAGCAAAAATAAATGGATGAATAGATAAATTTTTACAAATTACACAACTGGAACTGATCAAGTAATATAAATTTTACCTTTCACCGCTACTGTACATGTGATGATTGATAACAGGACTATTTACCGTTACAAAAAGAAGATTAAAAAGTGAAATATTTATTTAGTCTTAATCTTCTTTATACTACAGATAATTTTTAATTCAGACATACCTGTGAATATGCTATATCACATCTGTTGTTTTTTTTTTAAGTCATGGCCGGTGTGACAATTTTGTTTCAAAACCAGGAAGATGTTTGATAGAAAAACAATTCACACGTTTACGGAGGAAATATGAAAAATTACTCATATGGAAACTACTCAAAAATCAATTATTGCTAGATGATATATATAGTAAATCGTTAAACAAATAAGTCTCATTGATATATACTTGATTATATCATTGCTGATAATTTAATAAATTAGCTGTTAAATTAAAACCAATGTTAATTTAATATAATGATGCTTACCAGAAAACAACCCTGGATTTCTGGTATTAACAAATAGGGACTCTTCACTGGAATGCTGGACTAGTGAAGTACATTGTTAACAGTAGAAAGTGCAATTAGTTGTTGTTGAATAAAAAAAAAAAAATCTTTTAACGAAATGGATCTTAATATTAATCTAATACCAAACAGAAAACAATAAACTTGCGGAAAAGATTGTATACCACAAACATGAGGTGCAAAAATTTGAACACCATATCCGGATTTCGACAATTAATGTCTCTTCAGTGATGTTAGTGATCGAAACGGTATTTGGAAGGCCATATAATTTACCTCCAATTAGGATAGACTCTTGAATTTTAAAGAGTCGAAATAGGATGAACGGATCATATAAACCCGAGGGAAACCATAATACAAGCCAAACGAAAAAATATAAACAAGTCTTAATTGAAAACAACGTTCAAACCTATGATTGCGTTGGATAAAAACCGTAATTTTTAAACGTGTGCATGTAAAACAAATTTCTTTGTAGAGGGGTCTAAATACAGCACACACAACATTTTTCAAAAGACCAAAAAATGAAAGAGTATATTTTTACAAAACGCATTTGACTAACAGATCGAACAACTGATGTTCTTAAACCCTGCTGACTGCCATTGGCGATTGTCAAATAAATTGATCGCTAGTTTTAACGAAATGGATCTTAATATTAATCTAATACCAAACAGAAAACAATAAACTTGCGGAAAAGATTGTATACCACAAACATGAGGTGCAAAAATTTGTACACCATATCCGGATTTCGACAATTAATGTCTCTTCAGTGATGTTAGGGATCGAAACGGTATTTTGAAGGCCATATAATTTACCTCAATTCAGGATAGACTCTTGAATTTTAAAGAGTCGAAATAGGATGAACGGATCATACAAACCCGACGGAAAATATAATACAAGCCCAAACGAAAAAATATAAACAAGTCTTAATTGAAAACAACGTTCAAATTTATGATTGCGTTGGATAAAAACCGTAATTTTTATACGTGTGCATGTAAAACAAATTTCTTTGTAGAGAGTCTATCCTAAATTCAAGAGTCTATCCTAAATTGAGGTAAATTATGTGGCCTTCCAAATACCGTTTCGACCCCTAACATCACTGAAGAGACATTAATTGTCGAAATCCGGATATGGTGTACAAATTTTTGCACCTCATGTTTGTGGTATACAATCTTTTCCGCAAGTTTATTGTTTTTTGTTTGGTATTAAATTAATATTAAGATCCATTTTGTTAAAACTAGTGATCAATTTATTTGGCAATCGCCAATGGCAGTCAGCAGGGTTTAAGAACATCAGTTGTTCGGCCTGTTAGTCGAATGCGTTTTGTTAATATATATGGTCCGTGTATATTTGCGTCCAATCGTTTTTCGTTTTGAAATATCAAAAACAAAAAACAAAAAACGAAAGTGTTTTCATTTTTCGTTTTTGATTTCGTAAAAACCAAAATGAAAAACAAAAGTGTTTTCGTTTTTCATTTTTTATTTCTCGAAAACCAAAACGGAAAACGGAAGTCTTTTCATTTTTCGTTTTTGATTTTTCAAAAACCAAAATGAATATCATAAGTGTTTTGGTTTTTCGTTATTGATTTCTCTAATCAAGAAAAGAATCAACATTTGCATTCAATTTCTGCATTTCGCTCTATTTAATTCTCGTTTTACGTTATACAATGTTTTCCTTTCCTTTTTGATAGCCATTCATACCCCGGTGTATTTACTACTTAATGTAGACAGAATAGACCGCCTGACTTATGTAGGCTGCCCAACTATTCACATGGGAGATAACTCTAGAATACCGGAAGTTGTGATTTGAGCCAAATATCTCGTGAAATTCGTGTAGCAAAGTTGGAAAATAATTTGCAAGTGAAGAAAGACATATCATAATAAGGTATTGATGGTAAAAAGGGAAATTCCTAATCCAAATTGTACTGAAAAATAATGAAAACTGCAGTTACATGACATTTTATAAGAAAAAAATCAAAATTTGACGGGAACTGTCCTTTGCGGCAAATTAACAAAATTGCAAAAATATAGACTTGAAAGTGATGTATAGACATAAGCTACATTTGAACTGAAAAAAAGAGTGCTATGATTGCTGTTGGCTAATTTTTCTTCTGGCATTGTTTTGCCGATATTTTCCGACAGTTTTTCTTGTGTTAAACGTAAAAATGTTGGTACTCCGCCATCTCGGAATTACTTCCCTTTAACTACAGTCTGTTATTGGATGTGTTTTCATTTATGAATAAATAGAACAGAATATCAACCCATTTTGAATAAATTTATAGAAATGGTTGTTACTTTTAAATTTCATTATCAAATCACTCTATTAAGACAAATACAATTATGTGTATGTGTGTATGTTTTTAAAAAGGGGGGGGGGGGGGAGGGTTACATTATAATGATTATACAACTTGATAAAGTTAACAATTGTTTGATGTTTTAATGGGGGGTCAGTAAGCATTGCAATTTAATGCCCTTTTGTTCTGTTTGGAGGGAATACAAGTTTCTCTGTTAATTTTTTTTTGTATATAACTTTTTTTATCAAGGGGGAGATAACAATTAAAAAAACCTCATAAAAACAGTATGAATGCATGGGGGGGTCTCATCGGGGTCAGGTCTGATCCTAAATGCTTTGTGCTTTGTCTGATTCCTATTTCACGCTTATATAATATGCAACTTTTTTTTCATATTTCTTTGTAATTTCATTCAGTATTCATGCCTAAAGTAATTTTACTTTCATGTGTAATGGTCACAAAAATCAGCAAATCCTGCATCACACTAAGACCCCAATGACACCCACCGCAAGCAATAAAAAAAATATTTTTATCTTAATACAGTTTCTTAATATGTATAAAATATTTTAAATTCTTCTTTGATGTACTTATATAAAAAAAATGTTAATAACATTTACAGATTATGGCTAGATCTCAACACTGGGTACCAGGATTTTTTCAGGACTTTCATCTTGTAGTTGCAAATCCTCGTCATGCACTCATGTTTAGATACATTTGTAGGGAACATTGTAATATTGTTCCTGATGAAAATATAACTGAGACAATTGCAGATGTTACTCATTATCCAAGTAATTGTGTATGCACAGTTCATAGAGAATGTAGCTTTTGTCATGAGTTTTGCAGTAGAATTGCAGGAGGTAGTTCAATAGATTCTTCTGATTCACTGTTTGATTTGAGTAGTTGGTCAGAAGATTCTATTGATATATCATTGTGTGACGGCTCAGATATACCTTCAGCGACAGGTGTTTCAGTCATATCATTTGATTCAGAAAATTATGAAAGTGATAGTGACTCGAACTCTGTATCTGATGGCTTTGAAGTACCCAGGGAATCTGATATCCATCTCACTGTACCTTCATTAAATTTACGTTTTGAAAGTGATGAAGAAGAAAGTCAGCGGTTATCAGATTCCCCGGGCATAGATTTACCTAGTCTTGGAAGTCCACTGATATCATATTCACACCATTTTGATGAATACGATAGTCAGTTGCTCTCTGATTATGAGGTAAATCCGCCTTCTTTTGAGTCAGTTGATCCCACGTGTAGTTTTAGTGATGCCGAAACACAGTGGCCCTCTATTGGTAGTCCATAGGTTTTAGCATTGCTGAAACTAAACAATCAAGTGATTCAAGAGAAGCAGAATTATTTACATATAGTTTTTGAAAATCTGGTCATTATTGTGATATATGGACCACACACAGGACAGTGGTATCAAATTGACTAAGAAAGCATATGACTGAGGCATAGACATTGTCATTATCAAGTGCAGTCAATTACATTGTCATAATGACATTCCATGTATCACGCTATTGACCAGTTCTCATAATTATTATGTTTATTTCATTAAGGGGATGACCATTTGATATTCTTGGGGGGGGGGGGGGGGGGAGGATTTGTATTGGATCGGTTGTGTAATTTTTTTTATATGAAGACAAGCTTTTGGGTTTAAAATTTCATAAAATGCCTCAATGTAGTTACGGCCCTGTAATAACAGTGAGGTAAGTGTTCCTGAGAAAATATACCGTGAGTTAAATGAAACCCATTCTCAGACATTTCAAGTCTATTTAAATAATATTTTTTTTTGCCATCTCATACTCCTATAAAATGGCTTAAAAGACCTTCCAATTTATTATTTATTTTAAATACATTGTAAGTCAGATTATTTATTTTCGAATGACCACAGATAAAACCATTTATTTTTGTTATTATCAAGGAACACCCCCCCCCCCCCACTTACCCACCTCCCTCCCCACCTCCCCCCCCCCCCCCCCCCCCCCCCCAGAATATCAAATGGGCGTCCCCTAAGGAACCATGTCTTTTAAAATTCTCTTAAATACAAATTGTTCTAAGAAAAAACTAGGTATTGTGTGATTTCTATAGGAAATAGTAAAGACCACTCATAGTGACAACCATAAGTCACTGCCTTTCATTTAAGTGCAATGATTCTGTATATGATAATGAATTCAAAACAAATTTTTCTATAATTTTTTAATTAATGAATCACTATTGCATTTTATGAAATGATAGGTTTTCGGGGCCATATTTTTTCTGTTTAAGACTGATGGAATTTTTGACTGAAGAATAGATAAAGTCATGTGGCCCATTTTTATCCAATAAGAGAAGGTTATTCTTAACTGATATGAAATGAATTTGATATTGAGAAGAATGGGGAATAAATACTTGCAAATGATAGTGATTGTTTTGATAATTCAATTGAATCATAGTAATTTTGTATCATGACCATTTTGTACCATATATAAGATTATATAATTATAAGGTTTAGCATTTGCTTAAGGAAAGAGTTCCATATGGTACCCCACAAAATTTCTCAAAATTTAAGAACCACAGCAAGTTCTTCGATTCGTCACACAGGTGCTAATTCTTATGCAAACAGTCAAATTTGTGGCTTCTTTCATGAATGATTTTAATAACAGACAACAACATTTCTGTGAACATGCATATTTTCTAAAAGCAAAATGTATTTTTTTCAATGGATTTTTGTTTAAGTAAGCTCTAAATTAAATGATTCTTGGATGTGAGGTAATAATTTGTGATCAATGATGTTGAGTTATGAGTTATGAATATGGTGTATGATAAGGTGTACTAAAATTTTATTATGAATAATTATATCAGTAATGAAGAATTCAAAATCTAGTGTTGGTACCTTAGAGTGTTTTTTAACATTTCAAGAAAGGTGAGATACATACATTAATTGTATGAAAAATAACAAGGGACTTGGGCCTACATCACCCATCTACACCCCACTGGATCAGACTGTGCCAAACTACACTTGCTTTCTAATTGTATGTTTCAACTATATTAATTGATACTCATTATAAATTCATGTTTACACTGCACCAAAATATTCTTGTTATCTACCATATTGCATACATCTTCACATCTTCAAATACTTTTTTTCCAAATAAAGCTATTCAAAAACACAACACTTAGCAGTTACTTCAGTGCATGAGCAATAAACCCAAACATCACAACCTTTTTACACATTTTATGAGTATTATATCACTCACCAGTTATTGTCTGACTGTGGACCTAATAATCAAATTATTCTACTTTGCAACAACTTAACAAAACTCACCATACCAAGTAAAGTCCAAAGGAACAATTAATTAATTAAATTATAACATGTACAATAAATTGATTAAACAGAATAAACTATCGATATGAATTTCACTCATACTGTATGACAATAAATGATAAATTGATGACTTTTAAGTATAAGTAAGAGAATGATAATCCTTTTTTTCATGATTTAGTATGATAATTATCATGAGTTGTGCATAATCCATTACAAAGAACATGATTTTATTCATTCTTCACAGTTAATATATTATTTGTATGCATTATGATTGGCAACCACCCATAATGACATTTTGTTTATTGTAGGACTGTATACAGACATTTGAAATCATCATCAAACCAGACTTTTTTGCAGTTTGATAGCATCTTCACATCAGTTTGAGGTAAGCATGCCTGCAACAAATTATGATTATTTTTATTTTTATGATAAACAATCAACATATTACAACATGTAAAAAAACAACTGAGCAACACCAACGAGACATTAAAGTGGGTTAATAAATACTTTAAATTAAAGGTACCAGAATTATATACTTTTCAGATCCAAAAGGGTAAGCAGATCCTGCTTTACATATGTCACCTGTCATATTATATCAACATGTCTGAATTCCAAGCAAATCAAAATACAAAACGAACACATCAAATGGCAAAAGTGAATATTTCAGAACAATTTATCTTTATTGTAGGTTTGAGTTACTTCAGAAATTGTTTACAAAAAATTGGAAGAGTTTGGCAGATATTCAACATATTCATTTAAATTTGAGGTAAGCATTCATTTCACAGGTTACATTTATTATTATTATATTGTTATAATTTGATAAAGGGATATAACTCAATATTTTATAAAGGGATATAACTCAAACCAATTTCATGAATAGAATTTATCATAAATTTAAGTCAGTTGCCCATTATTAAAGAAGTTTACCCAAATTAAAATATTTGAAAGTCATGGTTTGCAAATGTTATACATAAAAAAAAAGTTGCTTTGACAATTTGAAATGTTTATAATTGTAATAACACCAGCCAGATATGTCTGATAAGGGAGATAACTCAATACCTTTAAATTGTTCATAAATGGTAAATCTTTTGTTACTTTTTAATACTTCAGCATTATATGGTAAAATTTTTGTTTTGAGTTGATGAACTGTCATTATGTCAAACAACATGGTTACAAACAATGTTGTACATGATGTTTTTAAACACGTAAATGGGAAACCTCAAATGGTCCATAAAGTTCTGTGTGAACTTGGTGGTGTAACTCCACAAGCTATAATAGTTGGAAGCATTTATAACAAAGCTAAGCGAGTTGTTCATCTAGTAAGAAAATTGAAGAACTGCCGAAACAATGACAGATTACAAAAGTATTTGCAAGCCGATTTTGTATTTCCCAAGAGACTTTTGAAAAGAAAAGTAGATGACAATGATGAGGAAAAGAGAGAAGATTGCAAGAAGTTAAGAAATACCATTAAAGTACATGAGACGTCAAATATGAAATTAAGAGAAAAATTAAGGTCAATTAATGTTTCACGGCTTAATCAAAAAATTAAAAGGCAGGCTTCAACAATTTTGAGACAACATAATACTATAGCACTGTTAAAACAAAGAGTCAATGATTTATTAGATAGAAAAAAACATCATGAAAAGGCAACACAATGCAATCGTTCCAAAAGCATTATTAAAAACTTAGAAGATGAATTAGATATACTGAAGTCGGAATGTCGAAATGATAATAATAACAATGTAAAAGATGATTTGATACAAACTAGACTAGAAAGTAAAGGGAAACCATTTAACGATAAAATCCGTCAAATATACTATAATTTCCGAAGCCGTGGAATAGGTCTACAGCATTGTGCTCCATTAATTAAATGTGTTTTTAATTTATTAAATATGGAAATTGGCGATTTACCCTCCAAGACAACTGCAAGCAATTTAACCGCTGAATTAGGGTTGATTGCAAAACAACATATAGGTGAAGAAATTGATAATGCAGAAAATATTACAATGCACCGCGATGCAACTACAAAATTAGGCCGACATTATTATGGTGTACAAATTACCAATGAAAATCACCAGACATTTACTACAGGATTAAAAGAGGTAAAAGATGGGAAAGCTACAACATATGTTGAATGTACCAAAAAAATGCTTCAAGAAGTAACACAATTTTCAGAAACTTTGGATCCTCCTAACATTTTTGGTAAAGTTAAAAATTTCATGACTGACCGCAGTGCAACCGAAAATAAAGTGAATAAAATTTTGGCAACAGATATATCAGCTTCATCACCAACTAACACAGTCCAGTCGTTTAAATGTGCAGTGCATCCATTACTACAATTTTCTGAAGTATGCGAAAAAGAAATTTCCAAACTAGAATCTGATTTTAAAGTTAATATTCAACATGAACAACGTGAATCTGCCACCCATTGTTTGATACGATTTTTATCAAAACTGTTTTTTAAGGATGGATCTGGTGACCCTCTTTTCACCAAGATATATTTGAAAAAGCATCATGGAATTTTTGATGTACCAATATTGAACTTTAGAGGAAATCGTTTCAACACTTTTTTTCATAATGCAAGAGGAACTTTTTATTTGGCTCAATATTTGGTAACATATTTTAAAACATCTAAAAGTACATTGAATTATACACAAAATTTTATTTTAGCCGCACTTCAAAACAACGAAATATTATGCATTTGCAGAGCTTTAGGAATTTTGTGTCAAACTTTAACAGAACCGTATTGGACTATAGCTGGTAACAACGAAATTTTGGCAATAAATATTGGACCTACATATAACAGAATTATCGAACTTTTGGACATTTGTGAGAAAAATCCGGAACTTTTTTTGAAAAATGAAGTTTACTTTTTACCCGGACCACAGCTACCTTTGAAACCAGAATCTACCTACCTTTTTGATTGCTCTCCGTCTTTTAACAAGAATACCATTCAAACTTTGAAAGTCTTTGCTTGTTCGTTACGCATTAAATGTCATTCTCTTTTTAAAGATTTTTTGCCTGAAGGAATTTATTTTGAACCGTCTGAAATTTTAAGTGAAAGCAGTAAATCCTGTCCACCAAATAACATTTGCGTTGAGAGGCTTTTTGCTCACCTGGACAACAAATTACGTACAGGTCCAAATTTTATGCCAGAAACTATTGAAGGTTCTATAATGTATGGACAAAATGAAACCCAAAATTGGTTGAGTTCAAAATCTGAAAATGAGCAACACGAAATTATTGCCAATGTAAGATCTGAGAGAAAAAACGTAATGAATGAGGCAAAAGAAAATCGACAACAACTGTACGAGGAAAGAGTTCAAATAATTGACAACAAAATTAAGGAAAAAAAAGATAATGAGGACAAGAAGTTAAAAAAAAAGGAAACGGTCATGAACAATATTCCTATTTTAGGAATTTGGCAAAACTTAAATGAAATAAAATTACAACTGGAACCGTTAAAAACAAAGAAAGAAAAAATTTTGGCCTTAAAAAATCAACTTCAAATACATAAGGAAACAATGGCAGTAAACAGCGGTGATAAACATCTTTTTAACTTAAGTACTAAAGGAAAACAACATAGCATAGAAACGCTCACCAACAATTTGCTACAATTACTCAAAATTAGAAGCGAGAAAATGGACCTATTTCAAGACCCTGATAGCTTTGTTGGAAAATTGATAACTCATGTATGGACAGATGATGAGTCAAATACTGACACCAAATACAGTGGGAAGATTATGTCCTTCAATAATGACACATTTAAGGTTATTGCTTTGTTTGACTTGGCAGTTCATTACCTGAAAGCATTTTCCATTATCCTCCAGTCTTTCCTTGGTTTAAGAAAAACTCCATACTTCTACAATATTATTGACTGTATATCTATGTTTTTGAATTTGTTGAATTTCACCTAAATTGTATTGAATAAAAGTGAGTTTATTTAATCTAAAAAGTAATTTATTCGTTTCTAATATTGATGAATATATATATACAGATCAAAAATAGAAAACAGTGAGACCATGGTGAATGGCATTATTTGAAAATTAATTTAATCAATAATTGATGCACAACACGCAGATTCTTAAACACTCCAAATGGACCAATGTCTTAATTACAAGCAAAGCTTTTAATATCTGTTTATGTTGGGGTTTTTTTCACACATCACTAGCATATGATAACTTGCATGCAGTTGTACTAATATTTGACAATTAAAACTTCATTATAATTTGCTTTGCTGCTTTCAATTTCAAATGCCTTATTCTTAGGTATGTTTGTTGAATGCTATATATGTATATGTGTTTATGTCTTGTTCATCATGTCTATGTGTCAACTTTTATGTTACTTGTAAATTGAACTTGTTGATCATTTTAACACTAAACTAGGCTGTTTTTACTTTTGCTTAACGCTTTAACGCTTTATGCATTTGTTATTAGGTTAAATTGATTTTCAATATGAATTGTTTATAATAAATTTTGTATATTTCCATTTATAGATCAAATACTAGGATGATGAAATGAGTGAAAATGAAGATCTGTATGAGTTAAACATAGAAGAATTTTCCAAAGATTATAGAGAAGGAAACCTATATTTCAATGGTATGTATTGTTTATTTTTTTAAATAAATGCACTAATCAATTGACAATACATGTAATATGAAAGATGAATAGTTAGTTATGACTGCTACCATTAATGTTATCTTTAATTTAACTTTTTATTATTATTTTCAGATCAATAAAAGTATTTTGAATGTGTGGCAGTTATAGTATTTTATGAAACAGACTATAGTTTTTTTGAAGGTAAGAAATATTAATTCAAAAAGAAAGATACCTCAATTTTTTCTAACAAATTTCGAGATTACCTCCCTGTTCATCACACAACCCTAAGATATGATCAATCTTATCTGGATAATATACAGTTATACACTGATTGACCAATGAAAAAAGAGTTTATAAAATCCTTTGGATAGAGATAGCTTCCTGTTACATAATTTTTTTAATTTTTTGTTGTGATCTTAAAATTTAGGTGGATAGCCTAACTTATGATTTGAAAGGTGATTAATGAATCAAAGACTTTCAAATTTCCTTGTTTTTATCTATAGAAAAAATATAAAATTATTGTATTTAAATATAAAATGAATCACAAATGTAAATAATACAATGAAATAATATATAAAGATGGTAAAAATACGATTGATTACAACATCACATTAACACGGGAGATTACTACTTATCTGATAAGAAAACTAGCCCTGTCGTTAAGTATGAACAGCGGTAGTATTTAAATCGGAGATAATGCCGACGAATGGAAAACACGTTATCAATCTGAATAATAAAGATGCATGATCTTTACTTTTTTCTGTTCTGAAAGGTTAGTTATCTTAGATGATTAGAACTGATGACCTAGGTCCTTCTGTCAGTATTAGTACTATTACACGAACATTCAGGACAATAATCTGATTATATTTTATTATTAAGATCGTTTGATTAAAAAACAAATTTCCGAAGGTTTACAATTCAAAATGGGGATTAGCATTCAATCATTTTGCCATTTACGGCCTATTCGTGATGACTTTTACTCATTTGTGAAGGCTATATGGTGACATATACTAGAGGGTGTGGAAAGGGGGTTACGAAATAGAGAATAATGAGCAAAAATATAAAGAATAGAGAAAATGGATAAAAAAATAAAGAAAAGAGAACAATGCACTGTTAGAATATAAAGAATAGAGAATAATTGGCAAAAAGTATAATGATTAGACAAAAATGGCCTAAAACATTAAAGAATACAGAAATGAATGACCCCATACTAGTAGTTAGTTGCCTATACCAACGTTTTTTGTCTCCAGTAGATTGTTATTGGTAATCATACGTTTTCTCTTTACTTTTATGACTATCAATTAAAACGTGAGCTTCAATAATTTGTCAGCATATGGTTACTTAATTTCTTTGCTTCCAGGTGACAAAATGTAAAAATTTTATTAATGTATTGCGTCCAAAGCACTTTTCTGGTTTTATCTTTATCAGGAGGGTTAGGCGGGGAAAAACAACAGTACATTTCACCTGTTGGTACTGTAGCATCACCCTTCTTTCATAATCTTGTCCCTGCTTTTTTTTTTATTTACACCAGGTTATACTTTTCATTTTTCAAAACCTGTCTATCCCCCACTCCTCCCCCGTGCAAAATAGTATAATTTCATTAATGGTGACCCCTTTAATTTATGATAAACAATAATTGAAAAAAAAAACATATTATGTGTATATGTCATACAGCTACCGAAGACAACAACAGAATCACGGGTGTCATTCGATATATCGAGAAAAAAAATCGTGAACGGTGGTCAAGTATTACGATTGGATCGTGAAAGCTCTGATATAGTAACGTGGTGAATTCAATCTTATCGAGAAGACATGTGCGAGGTCAATTACTAATCTAAAATAATGAATTATACAAAGAAATTCACAAAAACTAAAATTGTCTGTCAAAATGGTTCAACATAATGATTAGTATCTGAGAAAAATCAAGGTTTAAAAGTAAACCGTTCATACAAAACTACAAAAGGCAGATTGCTCCTCGACATTCCAATGACATGAAGTATGTAAACAAACTAAACGTTTTTGATAATTCGAATGACTAAAAAACTTTTCTTTGAAAAATGTAATTTCATTTTAATTATTCAAATGGTTCTTACATTTATTTAGTGTTAAATGCATAAAGACTTAGAGGAAAATGGGAATCCGGTGAAATACCTTTGCAATTATCTACGATGCATGCACCTCTATGAAATATCCCCTGACTTAAGTGTTTAAGTGTTCTGTCTATACGGAAAGTAATTCCATCGTACACAAATCCCCCCTGAATTTCTCGTTTGGTCGGATGAACTTTCAATGAATATGTGAACATCTTTCCATGAATTTTGTAAATTTTAAAGATTACAGGTATACAACTATTATAGGTAAAAAGCGCAAATATATTGTCTATTTTGTTCAGGTGTATTAAAGTTAAAAGCGCAAATGTCCTTTAGCAAAACCTATTCAATGTAAGATTATATTTGTACAAGTGGTCATTAAGGGCACTAAGCCCTAAGCGTAATCTAGTATGAATCTTTTTCTCATAACCATGCCCTCATGAATATATTGTTTTACTACACAAATTGAGAATCTTCTTTGACAACCTTTTGAAACTCGCCAAAGATGTTGCTGAAATTAGTTCAGTTGACAAGCTCTTCCAGTCTCTAATCGTAGCTAGAAGAAATGAATTATGGTATGCTACTGTTCTTGACCTGATAAATACCAAGTTGGCATGTCGTCTAAAGTTATAGTTTTCGGTGTTATGATGGAATAATGTTGATAATCTGGGACAAGATGATTTTTTAAATTTTGTACAGGTATGTACTGAGTCTATGAACTTTACGGCGTGTTTTAAGAAGCTCAATGCCAACCTAAAGCTAGGAACGGTTTCAATGAAAAACACTTTTATTTTACTGTATTATCTGTCACATTAAAGATTAAGTTTCAAATATATCATTATATATTGGAATGTAGTCATTATAGGTACAAAACGTATCTTTTTTTTAATGAATTCCATATACTTGTGCGCCTTTTGTGTTTTCACATAAAGTACAGCATATTTTATTTATCTAATTGCACAGTATTATTGAGAAAGTTGAATCATTTTGACTGCCATTATTTTTTTTCGGACTTGTTTATCATTTTTAAAATACAACAGATTTTTCACAGTGAAGAAGAATTTCAAGTAATTACATTCACGATCCTATACCAGATCTTTCACGATCCGATCGCAATGCTTGACCACCGTAAGGTATTCTTTCACGATAATTTCTCTCGATATACCGATAGACAGCCGTGAGAATTAAAGGCTCCTGACTTCAAACAGACCAATATATTCGAGTGAAACTCCCCCATTCATACCTGGGTGGTGTAAAAATCAGTTCATAAGAACCCAGTTGTCTTTCACATGAAACCACGTAAAACAATGGTTAAAAATTACTTCGGTATAAATGATCGAGAAAAATAAGCAGGTAAAAAACAAAACAAATATAACTACAACTTGGATACATTGATTGATTGATTGATTGATTGATTGATTGATTGATTGAACAGGGATTTGCTCATGTTAAATTTGTACTCCGAACGAAAGTCATGTTTGTTGTTGTTATCATAATAATAATTTGTATTGCTGCCTTAATTTCACCAATGAAACTTTTCATTAAAGTTTGCCTTTGTATTAAATTAATCTATAAACTTCTTGGAAATCTACAATGGCCGTCTGATTACAATTCGACCCTCAAGAATGTGAAATATGCAAATTTATTTGGCCTTTAATGCCTCAACTCTTTTAATGTGGGAATCCTATGGGAAAGAACATTGACATAATTTTCTAAATGTTTTTTGGAACCCAATGACATTGCATAGTGTTGCAACCTGTAATGTGAAGATGTGCATGAAATTACGGAGGGTATGGGAACTTCGGTCTGGTCAAACCAAAGATTTTAAAATTGGTTCGTGCTGCTTCTCTTCAAGCATGTGGCATTAATAAGTAAAATCAGAGACTGGTCGGCTCCGAGTCAAAATAATGAATCCGCGTAGGATGACATGTCTTCCTGCGAACTATAGCATCGCGAACTAGCACGTCCGACTCAGTGTGTCGATCTTATACAAAGCAGGTCGATAATTCATATTAAAATAACATGTTATCGTCCTGAATATGCATTTAATTTGCCACAGGACATTAAAAAGCCATCATTTGTTACCACCGCAGGCACAACCTTGCATAAAAGAGGGATTTTGCGGTCGTATAATGGTATTACGTTTGTCGTCGTCTTCCGAAGACATTTGGTTTCCAAATAATAACTTGAGTATACATGTAAGTGTATGGATCTTTATGAAATTGTACCACAAGGTTTTGTACCACAAAAGGAATGTTGGAATTGGTTTTGAGGGTTATTGTCCCATCTTTGTAGGAATTAAGGACCAATAACAAGCGTTTTTCTTGTTTCAGGACAATAACTTAATTATAAGCGTATGAATCTCTATGAATTTGTACCACATGGTTCCATACTTCATGAGGAATGTTGTGACTGATTCTGGGGGTTATGACCCAAAACGTTCAAGAATTACGGACTAAAAAATTAGGATTTTCTGTTTTCCGGACAATAAATTAAGTATAAGTCTGAAATGAATCGTTTTAGGAAAAAGGGCTCGAAACAATACTTTTATTATACTTTGCATACTTGCTCATTTCTTGACCAATTTCAATGGGGTTTAATTCAAAGTCTTAAATTCTTGGGGTTTTTTATATGCATAATCTAACCGTGCATTTATAGATTCTTTTTTTTTGGGGTCCGTTTTCAATTTGGTCCACATGAAGGTCCAAAGGGTCCAAAATTAAACTTTGCTTGATTTTAACAAAAAAGAGATTATTAAGGTTCTTTGCTATGGTGAATCTAACCGTGTATTTTGATTTTTGATTTAGGGCCCGGTTTTCAAATTAGCCCACATTAATGTCCAAAGCGTTCATAATCAATTTTAGTTTGATTAAAAAAAAATGAATTCAAGGGGTCTTTTAATTGCTTAATCTACACCTGTATTTGTATTTTGGGTATTGGATCATGATAGGTAAATATCCCATTTCATTTTTTAAGTTCTTAGACCACATTCATTCTGTGTCGGAAACCTATGATATGTCATATATTTGATCACAATCAAAATTCAGAGTTTTATTGCACACTTAATAGAAAGGTTAAGTAGATTTACAGTTAAAATAGATACCGCATTAAATT